CTTCCGCTTTTTAAACTAGTCCTGTGTATGTCTTCCGAATACTGCTGCCTCCACCGCCACCCTGCGCCATGTGCCACTTTCAGGTCTCCTTACACTGTTGGTGGGTTCCATTTTGTGATAGGGTGCTGTATGGCCTTCCATTGCTGCTGCCTCCACCGCCACCCTGCGCCATGTGTCTCTGTCGTCTGCTCACGCTGCTGACGGCTTCCGCTTTTTAACCGAGGCCTGTGTTTGGCTTCCATACTGCTGCATCCACCGCCACCCTGCGCCATGTGTCTCTGTCGTCTGCTCACGCTGCTGACGGCTTCCGCTTTTTAACCTAGGCCTGTGTATGGCCTTCAATTGAAGCTGCTTCTGCTCCGCCACTCTGCCATTGGACTCTTGATAGTCGTCTCCCCACGCTGCTGCTGGGGGGACTTTTTAACATAGGCCTCTGTATGGCCTTCAATTTTAGCTGCTTACGCTCCGCCACTCTGCCATGGGCCCCTGTACCGCCTCCTCATGCTGCTGCCAGGCCCGTAATCTGCCATGGGCCCCCGTACCGACTCTTCATGCTGCTGCCAGGCCCGTAATCTGTCATGGGCCCCTGTACCGCCTCCTCATGCTGCTGCCAGGTCCAGAGTGTGTCATGGGTCCCTGTACGGCCTCCCATTGCTGCTGTCTCCATCGCCACACTCTGCCATGTGCCACTTTCAGGTCTCCTCACACTGCTGGTGGGTTCCATTTTGTCATAGGGTGCTGCTGTATGGCCTCCCATTGCTGCTGCCTCCACCGCCGCCACACTGTGGCTCCACACTCTGGTTTTGGCCCCGTGACTGCCCAAATGAGTGAAGTGTGCGGTGATTCTAAGATCGACGGCACTCATCTGCATGTCATACTGACTGACAGTATTATTTCTCTTCCCCAGCAGACTCCAAGGGCATTTAAATTAAAGGTACAGTGTTCTGCACTAATATAAAGGCTCTCTGAAGCCTAGAAACACCCTTTTTATAAGTTAAATTTGCAGCGAATATATTCGCCTCGAATCGAATTTATTCCGCGAATTCGGCGAATCAGCCGAATCGAATTTTTGAATAATTCGCTCATCTCTAAAAGTAACCTTAAGATCATTTCCAGAAAAGTTTTCAAAAAAGTTCAGAAAATGACTAAACAAATAAAAACAGACAACTAAAGGTAATGCTATGTGACCCTATGTATGGTGAAGTAATGCTGCGGACTAGGAGACTTTGCAAAACTCAATGTAGACAGCTTGTAGATTACTGCCATCGTGTGGTGAGAAGATTTTTAGACAGCTGACTGTGAAGGCCAGCCCTGCAAAGATTTACAAACTATACTATATATTATTTAACTACACTTTTAAACTTTAGCTTGTAGGCATGCAACATTCTTGTGAAGCAATTAAAAATATTTTTTTTCTGATTATTTAGCTGTGTCTGAGTTGGTTTCTTCAAAAGATAATAACATAGTCATTGCAGTGATAGATATTACATCATTTAAACCTGGTGGATTTTTTTGCCATTTCAATTAAATGTAAAATATGTTTTGTATATATACAAATTAGGAACCACCATGGTGATAATGGATATAAATATACGTCATTGTATATCCTATATTCCCATCCCAACAGGGTTCTCTTCTTTTTAATTTTATTTTTGCTGTATTGTTTTTGTGAAGTTTATTTTCCCAATTAATTTATAGTTATGCAATATCTCTCCTCAAAGTTTAAAAGCTAAAGAGGTAGTATTTTCTCACAGCATTTTTTTTCTGTTATATAGCTAATTTATAATGTTGATTTGAGTTTTTGGTACTTTGAAAACAGAAAAAAATATATAATTTAATTTAGAAAATCATATTTGATGCTTTAAAAGGAGCCTGACACCTATTTTTAATGTATGTTTGTACATCTCCTTTGAAAAAAGTGTAGCACAAGAGAAACCACATGTTCGCACATGTAAGGTTCTAGAGAATATATCACATTGGTAAAAACATTAAGAAGAGAAACACTTCAAGCAGAGTCTCTTTCTTCTGTTTTGTTACTGTGATGTAAGGCTATCATTGTTATAAGAGGTAGAACAGTCTATTCTGGTCACAACAACAACTGCCTGGATCCTCTAATCCTATAGAGCAGCATCAGAATGATCTTGTTTTCTCACCATTCAACAATTAACACTGACTGCCTGATAGAAGTGTGGGACAGATATAATGCTTGGATCTGATATGAGGAACACACAGGATATAATTGTAGTTGCAGTGTAGTGGAGTACATGCATTGCATAATATGGCTCAGCTTGGCTCTCCCATTCATATTTATGGAGCTTGTAGTCACACATACTGTACATACTGGAGGACAGGCACCATGGGAAAATGGAATATATATACTCCTGAGTGCAGCAGAAAATCAGGCAGTTTACACAAGGGTTTTGCTGCATCTGCAGTCTGATTTTTGGTATACTAACTAAGCAAATGGGGTAGAACACATAGTGGGGTTTTTTTATACAAAGGCACACCTGTACCTTAATATACTCAAAAGTTGGCATATACCAAAGGTGCCGTATGATTGTGATGAAAAAAAACAAAAGAAAAACTTAAAGGCTTTGTAAATCAGTTCCAGCTCTTAGATATACAAAGATTTTGGGGCGTACCTGGTATATGCTGGTCCTGCTCTTCCACCATTTCTCAGAAGATCTCTTCCAAATGTCATTCTGAGAATACAGTGGGAACTGGCTGTCATTCTTTCTCTTGACTGGTATTTTTCTACAGATTTTTAAATATTTTTTTAAAATTAATATTTAACTTTTTAAATTTTAATTTATTAACAAACCATTACAAAAATATTATTTTTTTAAATGTGATGGCTGTTTTATGGTTGCTGAAAAAAATGTCTGGAAAAAGAAAATATGTGATGGTGACACTGTGTTGCTTTAAGTACAGGGACCCTGCAAGGCTCTGGCTTATCAACCAATATGACATTATGGGCACCAGATTTTGCATGCTCCAATCTTAGTAAATCTCTCCCTTTGGGTTCACAGTTTATTGCTGAAACATTTTCTTTGGGGTGATGGTAATTTTCTGCTCTACAATCCCAGGTCTGCACGGCGCCATCCATTGCAATCATGTCAAGCACCCTCCAGGTTACATCTGATCTGTAGCACTGTAAAAATTGTACAGCTCTGAATATGACTGTTTCTAATATATAAACTGACACTTTACATAAATCAATAGAGCCCATGTTATTATTACCAAGTCACAGTTTATTTAGTTAAAAAAAAAAAAAGGACTTCTTTATTGCCACTTCAGCTAATGTGAGCCCATAAATAGATTGTATTTGTTTTTGAGGAGCAATATGGGTATTTTACATCATAGTACATTGCACAGACTGTTAAGTATAGAATCACCATGTTTTTACATTCTCTTTTTTTTATTCAAGAAGCCAGTTGTACCTCGCAATTTTTAATGGAAGGCATTTTAGCGAATCCAAGGGCTGAGACCATCACTCCTCCCAGGAGTCCTTGAGGAATGAGATTCCACAGTATATATAATATGCACATTCACTTGCTCTAACACCATGATTCCTTTGTTGCTGTCTGTGTTTCCCCTCAATTCCTGTTCTAGTAAAAAATAATGGGAAATCTCTCAACAGGTTTGGTCATTAAAAAAAAAACTAATAATAGTAATAACTTTTCATTCTGATCAAAACTTAAACAATCTTTTTGTTATATTATTGAAGTTGGGCTTTAAACCAGCTAACCCAACCATCATGTTCACTTCTAGTTTGTTAAAATTATACAATCTAATTGTCACTTGTTACTGACAACATGTAAAGACATTTATGTTCCAGCTTCCCTCTGTAGCCTAGATTCTAGAATATCCCCTCCAGTCTTAGAGTCCTCAGAAAACCCTTTTACAACAGAATGCCTGCCAGAGACAGCATCTAGCACACTTATCCAAGAGCATCACTTAGATCCCCTGAGAAGTTTAACCACTTTGTTGCTTTTAGTATACAGTTATCCATACTAATTTTTGTATAAAATTTCAGCTTAAAAAAAAAGAACAAGATAAGAGGATTGTATCTGTGTTGATTATTGATTTCTGCTCTGCATGATGATTAAAGTGTCCCCACTATCCAGATCTTTTGTGCTGCTCATTGAATAAACACCGGTAGCAGAATTAGACTAAGCTGCTCTTATGAGATTGAAGAAGCAGTGTGTGTGCAGAGGAGTAATCCAGTGACGGAATACAGGTAAAAGGATGCACATAGATACAGCTAATCTGTTCAGTGGACAGCCCTGAGAATGCTTTGTCCAGCTATATGGGTATATCTCTCTTCACTTCTCATATATTTAGGTAAGCCATCATTAATATATAAAGTCTGTTTCTAGCTAGGACATTGCCACCATTACAAGGTTGTCATACAAGCTTGATATAGATGACTGATACATCAATGCATAGATACACACTATATATAAAATAAACCGTATATGTTCTTTATTGAAAAATGTTTTTTTTTCTTTTTATTCAATATAGGTGTCCATTGTGAGCAAGACATTAATGAGTGTGAGTCAAATCCTTGTCAGAATGGAGGCACATGTGAAAATCTTCATGGCACCTACACTTGCCATTGTTCTACAATAAAGGATCCAAAGGGGCATTATTATGGAGGATCAGATTGCACAGATATGCTCCGTGGCTGTGAAAAACAGACATGCCGCAATGGTGGTTCATGTGTTCCGTATATAATGGATGGCAAACACTACCACACTTGCCTTTGTCCTGCAGGATATATAGGCCCTGACTGTCAAGCACAGACAACGTTCTCCTTTAATGGAAGAACAATTCTTCCTATTAGGAATATTACTGTTCAGCCCCAAAGGGGTTCACTTTCAAGTATATCTCTGAGTTTCTCCACGGTCCAGACAACTGCTGTTATTTTCAGCTTTGGAACCAAGCTGGCTTCTCTGTCATTATATATAGAAAAGAGCTTTTTATTCTTGGATTTTCTCAATAATACTCAGTGGAGCACACTTCTACATTTGTCTCGCAATATTAGTGATAATCTTTGGCATACTGTTGAAATTATATTCTCAGACAATATCCAGTTTAGACTACTTGACCCCTTTTGTGATAGTACATGTGTAACGCAGTCCAGGTATGATGGCCCAACCAACATTGAGTTTCAGGGAATGTCGATAGGAGGTATACAACCAGTGAAGACCAAAGAGGAAAATCATGGTAATAACATAGTGGAAACACAGCCCTGGCTTGTGGGCTGCTTAAGGGATATCAAAGTAGGTACCACTGTTATTACAGAAGAAGTTGGGAAATCGGCTGGTGTTGAAGTTGGCTGCAAGCGACAAGACCACTGTGAGAAACAACCATGTGAAAACAGGGGGAAATGCGTTAATCTATGGATCAACTACTACTGTGATTGCTATAGGCCTTATAGAGGGATTAACTGCTCCACAGGTAAGAATAGAGATTGTGTAAAGGATTACAAAATGTTCTACTATAAATTATGGTGTTAGATGTATAATAAATAGTGAAACAGTTTTAACGTATATAGGCATTCCACATAGGTATATAAAGGAACAGACAGACAGTAGTTGGGTAAAGAGGCTGATATTTGTGATATTTTTCACTTTTGTTAGCATAAAAAGATGAATCACTATTAAAATATAAGAATACTTTCAGCATCTTTCAGCTTTCCATTCAGATCTGTATGAGAAAAGGACAGGACTATATCGGAACAATTAAATAAGTCAATCTGAAAGGTTACATGTAATGAAATTCCTGAGAGTTGGAGTTTTCTGAAAATGGGATGGTTTCTGTTATGGGATGTACATTAAGGTGACTCTGTCACCACATGGTCACTTATTAAAAGAAGGGTGTCCTGTAGATCACCTATACTTGACATCTACTCAATTAAACTATAGCTTTCCAGAAGTCTGTGTCCTGAAACATCATTTCTCTACTCCCTAGCCACTGCAGGTGGTCCAATTACCTATTCCCCCTACCACATGCAGTGGTTCCTCCCAGCAGCTCATATGTCCTGTGGTGACAATCAAGTTAATGAGAGGAAAACCAGTGTGTGGCGGGTGAAGTGTGAATAATATCACACCTGCAAGTGCAAAAGACCTGCAATGAAGCAGTGGCAAGAAATGAGCCACCAGATAGGTTAGTATAGATTATATTTTTACAGAAATTCCCATTTTTTATTTTTATAAATAACCCAATAATGGCAGGGTCATTTGATTATGAAAACCATGATTTTCCTCAGCTTCTTCTTGCTATCCATATATGAAATGAAGTTAATACACAGTTTCCTCAGGTAGGGTTGATAAATTCCCCTTCTTATCCCTAACCTCATATTTTCTGTAAACATTAAATTTAATTTCCAAATACCTTAAAACACCAGTCTTAAGCTGGCCATAGACGGTTCGAATCTTGGCTGGTTCAGCAGGGACCGCCCAAGATTCAAACCATGTATGAGCAGGCTGAATGTACCCAGGTTGATTGATCAACTTGGGTACATCCAGCCTGTCAGATTTTACATGGAATTAGTGGCAGCGGCTATTATAGTCACAAGCAGTAGTCACTTTGTTCTCCCAGAGGGGACAGTTAATCCCCCCACCACCACTGGGAGAACACAATAGCTCCACAGGAGGGATTTATCCATCAACACTTACTGTGTTGATGGGGGAGTTGAGCGATTTTCTTTCTTGCAACCCGCTCCGCTCCATTGGCTTTACTCTTATTCAACATACAATTATTTAATTTTTCTCTTCATTAGGAGCCTGGGATCCATCAAATGTCCAAGTTCAAATAACATATTCAAATCTATAATTTTATTTACCAATAAATACTATTTAGGATGTATTTTTATTTTATTTTCAGTAGAAAATTATGTAATTAGATCTTCTTGTCCTTTTGTATGTGTAGGTGAAACTCCAACCTAAACCTATGTTTTAAGTGTGAAAGGATGAAAATCATGTTTTGTTTTTATTGTTGTCTGGGTCCCAGATTACTGTTAACTTTCTGGTTAACAGGAATGAAGGTTAGGTATGATCCGTAAATAGGGACACAGACAATAATATAAGATAATTTTTTGTAGAATACAAAGAATTAGAACATATGCTAAATTTATATTGCTGTTTGTGTCCTGGTAGGAAAGATTACCCCTCTGGTAGGGAAGGTTACCCCTCTATTACTAAGTGGTCAGGAAAGGAACTAAGGAAAATGTATTCCCAGCTGAGGCTTTGGGCTTTATTGACCTTGTGTATCAGTATATGCTGGTAATTATATGATTATAATGACTAAGCCCCAACAAGAGTTTAACAAACTCATAAACACAAAAGTCAAAGTGGATGTACAATAAAAAGTTCCTCACTAAATATACAGTTCTAAAACCAGGAAAAAAAACACCTCCCATTTGTCAGAACACATTTCACAGTAGATGGTATTTCAGAATATCTGTTTTTTAAAGGCTTCCACCCTGATACAACAGATGTTTATACGCTGTTTTAGCAGATTAAACAGTATAACAATGTATGCACATAAAAATATATCACATTTGATTTGCTCAGGATTTTTTTTCTATAAAAATCTATCTGCTACTAACCATCTAGCACTGTGTTCATCAGACTGACTCCCAGTATACTGGGGATTTGTATTCTTTTGAAAGATTCTTAGCACTGAGTTAGCAAAGCATCAGGAGCTGCATATCTTTTTTTTAATCACAATGCTGGAAATCCTCTTGTGATGGGCACAAGCTGCTTTCTGTTATGAATACATAAATATACAGTATATAATGCAATATTTAGTATCTCCTTCAGAATTTTGTATTTGTTAAATCTGTATTGCTGCTTTCAGAATATGAAGTGGTGGAGTTTGGACATGGAAAGGTATCTTCATATGCCGTTTTCCACACTCTCTCTACACATATGGATGACATCATCTTATCAGCATTTGTGAGAGCAGAACAGGACTCTGGTTTGTTGTTTGCTTTTGGAAATTCCACATTTTATGACATCACAGTGTTTATTGAAGATGGTAAATTAAAAGCAAAAGCTGGAAGTGGCATTATTTCAAAAGGACAAACTCGTATCAATGACTTTCTTTTTCATTTGGTTTCTTTGAAGCTAACAAAAGACACTTTTGAAGTCTATACTTCATCAACATCCCTAGCTCAAATATCTATGACCATTAACAGACAACAGGCCATAAGTACACTGTATGTGGGAGGACTGGTGGACCCTCTAGAAACTATTCTAAATGGAGGATACTTTAAGGGTTGTATTCAAGATCTGAGGATTGATGACAAACCTCTGGCATTCTTCCCTAGTTCTAAGTCATATGAAGATCCATTTCTGAAAAAAACGTGTCAAAGGGGTGTAAAAACAATTGCACTGCAGCGAGATGTGAGCAGGATTGGTGTCAGCTCACCAGGTGTCCTCTTGGATCTGTGTGCCAGCCTATGCCCAGCGGATATGAGTGTAAGCAAGTAGTATCACTGTTGTGTATTTCTGTGTGATCTTGAAGCTTCTATATAACTGAACTAAAAGAATGTGCTCAGGGCGAAAAAAAAAAAAATCACTACTTATTATATCTGTACAACAGGGCTCAATAACACCGGAATACAAGTGCATACATTATATTTAACAATATTGTTATGCTGTACCTTTAAATCCAAAGTAAAAAAATTAAAACACCATAAAAACAAATTAAAATAATAAAATTAAAATTAAATAGGTGTTAATACCTCCAGTGAAAGTGTTGCTCTATGTTGTAACGTATAGTTCCAATAAAAAGTCCATCCAAGTGGTTAATCAATTCAAGATTTCCCGGTGAGTTCCACTACCATTGCCACACACAGCCTCCTAGCAATCAAATAGACCTCTTACCAAAAGTTGAAAGGCTCCATGTGACGCATTTTGTCTCATCAGATGTGCTCAAGGGGCCGGCTCATTGAGAATGACTGCTGGGATGAAACGCGTTGGGTAGAGCCTCTGCTGACATCATCACGCATGCTGGAGCTGACCCTGTGTATTCTTTTGATGTGCCCTTTACACATACAGGATTGTGAGAAGATATACAGTCTATTGATCATTAAAGCTAGTGGTTTTACACTATGGAGGCTGTTATCTGTTTTCTCTTGATTGACATGTGGAGCGGGAGAGGTGATTTAACTGATATTCCCTGTTGGGATGCCCTGTGGTTCCCACGTCCTAGTATACATTTGCTGCAGCAGATCTCCCATGCTTTTGAGTGCACTAAAACCACCTTTAACTTGGGGTCTTTTTGATTGGTAGGAGGCTGTGTGTGGCAAAGGTGGTGGAATGCATCTGGAGATCTTAAATTGATTAATCACTTGGATGGACTTTGTATTGGGACTATTAGTTATAATATAGAGCCAAAATTTCACTTGAGGTGTTGACACATATTTTCCTCATTTGTTTTCACAGTGTTTTTGTTTTTTCACTTTGGATTTAGAGGTACAACAAAATTGTTAAACAAAAAACTTATATGCCTGACCAGGGGCGGACTGACCATTCGAGCACTGGGGCACTGCCCGAGGGCCCGGGGTCAGTAGGGGGCCCCATGAAAGGCCCCTGGTACCTTTTTATAAGCTTTTTTGGGTGTGCTTTGAGTGTGGGCAAGGAAACGGGCCCCATGATCCCCTTTTGCCCAGGGGCCCCATGAGTTGTCAGTCCGCCCCTGTGCCTGACCAATATCTCCTAAACTTTTTCCATTCTCAGTGATGTCCTTGAACCTCCCTATGTTCATATGGACATCATATTCACAGGTTACAGTTAAAGGGTCTCTAAACCCCAAAGAAGAAAAATGTTTTATATTGCTTAGATGTAGTGCACATATTAATTTTCCTCTACTGTATTTATGGATGAAACCATGGTTGTCACACAGACATTCAAATATGTCTGCCTTTGTTCACCTCCATTAGATATTGGAATGACAGGACTGGATGTTTACACAGTAAAGATAGGGTGCTTTGTGCTTTCTTTAAAGTAACTCCATTTTTCTTGAGAAAAAAGCCTTCCCCTCTGGGTCATCTATGTATATTGCATGGATTTTAGCAAGCAAAGTAGCAGATTCTTAACTTTTGTTATTCTGAAGAAAAAGTTGTTTGTCTGTGTCCATGTGGAAAGTGAATCTAATGGGATCGGATTCATAATTATCAATCAGCTGCTGCACCTGCAGGATTCTAATGAGGAAAGTGGCAGGGTCTGCATCCCTTTAGACATGACTTCCTATTGAGAGTATCTCACCATAATCACATTTTTGTTGCAGGGGATGCCTGAAATCTGGCTTGTATCTAAGTGCAGACTTTTGGGAAAATCAGTGAGCCAATCTTACAAGCAGGAAATTATGTTTCTGGGGGTGTTCTGTACACATTCTATCTACAGAACACCTCCAAGTAGCCATATTGCATTCCATTTTACAGAAAATTACAGCACTGCAGATTGAAAAGGAAAGGTCATTTTTAATTAAATTACAATATGACTTATGTTGCAATTGAACACACAAGATGATTTTTTTTTTTAACTTGCTGTTTTTTTCCCACAAAAATAGAGTTACCCTTTAAGCTCATTGAAAGTCACAAAAGGACTGCATTTTTGGCTAAAACAACTCTCATTTGATGTACTTGCCAAAAATGTTTTAGCTTGAAAAATAAAAAACTAATGCAGCATCCACATCTAAGGACAGGTAATTTGCAATAAATAATGTTTTTCGTTTTGGGATTTAGATACACTTTAACCCTTTTGCGCTGGCACCTCCCGGCCCTTTAAGAGGTTTCAGAAGCTGGGAGGCGGGGCGGGGTTTTTGGGTCATGTGACCACCGTGATTTGCTGTCACGGCGGTCACATGATTGGAAAAGGTCCCGATTGCAATGTTTTTAGCACATATGTATTTTCAAATGGTACACAAATATGCGGCCGCTCGACGTCAAGGCCCAGACGCCGAGAAGCCACATATATGTGTGCGCTCAGCATCTAGGGGTTAAGCAACATAAGCAGGGCTAGCAGTTGCTTCCATTAGGTTTAGCTGATCCATCTTGGGGGGTGATAGCATTAGGGCTGCCAGGGGTGCAGTTGTTAGCATTTGGGTTTTGCAAGGCTAGTTAGGAACAAAATGATTGGCCTTATAATCTACTGCTGATCATATGCTTAAAGGTCAAGCCAAGACATCTTATGCCATTTCTATCATATCCTAAATGCACAAAATAATAAATTGACTGCTGACAGTCAGAATCAGAACCCACAATTTTCTGTAAAACATGAAAGAAAATGGTATCCACTTGCTGGTCTCTTGGCAGATTTAATAAACACCATTTATTGCTGTTACATATTCATTAATAAATATTTTGCAGCTAGTATAAGTCCCTAGATCTCCGTTAATATCCCTGGTTCAATTAAAAAAAATAAAATAAAAAAACTCAACTCTTCTTTAGATAGGAAGAGCCAGCACCGGTAGTCTACCAGGCTCTGCTACATGAACATACAGCATGTGCTGCCAAGGAACAGGATGTTGTGATGACTTCATCAGTCTACTGCTGCTTTTTCACTATCAAATCAAAGGCTGGGCAGGGAAGAGACCTGTATTGGATTACTACAGTACAAAAATGGAGGTCACTAGGCTTGACATGTTGCCTAGCAGGGCTATGTAAATCTCAGAACTGGCTGGACAAAATTGGCAATCCCTTGGCACAATAGTATGAAAGGTGGCATAATAAAGGAGAACAATTTTTTATTTAGCCACCCAGTCAGGCACATGGGAGTTTAAGAATGGGATTTACCCTTGCACATATGTGAATAACTACAGTGAATGCAAATTCACTATGTTGAGTCTAAATTGTACCTATTTAATAAACACTCTCTGGTTTCTGTTGGGGGAAGTTAAAGTGGACAAATTGTAAAATCACCTTAAAACAATCAGAAATTCATCTTCAAAGTTTACAAAAGAGACACTAAAATCTCATTCCCGTTTCTCTCATTTTCCATAATTTGGCAAAGTCAGATTTTCAAATTCTCACATTCAGCAATGCGCTTTTCCAGACTTTACATTTTATTAAATACCCCTTAAGCTATGCAAGAAAGAAAGATGTTAAGATCGATGATGTTGTACATCCCAAGATAGCTGAAAATATTTATCAGGAATATAACAAGTATGCTAAAACCAATATTGCAAAACATAATTCCAGTATTATCTAAAAAAAAAAATCCAATATAGGAAAGAAAAGTAAAAATATCTACCCTGGAATTCAGAAAAAACTTGTGAAAGTGTCTCGTATGCATTTTAAAGTGGTGCAGCATGCGCCTTATTCATTTACCTGTCCAAAACTTGTACATGAACTTAGTGCATGATGAGCCACTTTTAGAAACGCACATGAGACACCTTTGCATAATCTGTCTCCGCCAGGGTCTCTCTTTGTACGCCAAATTAGTGGTCCAATTTAGTTCACCTTTTGAACTAAAGATTTGAACTGATGGTATTTTATTTTTAATTTGGCACAGGCATTTTAGAACTACCTGAATTTGGCTTATGAGTCGCTGTCAGAATCAAAAGTGTTGCAGAATGCTTCGTAAATTTGTCAAAACACATTAACAAAAGAGATTAACACCAAAAAAGCAGTGCAGCAGCTTTACTACCCATAGAGTTAATAAAGACAAACATGTCTGGACTTGAGTATGTATGCTTGTGAAAGAAAGTAGATAAACTGTAAATATGAAACTTACAGGAAAGCACTTTGCTTCCTCCACAATTTAGCTTTAAAGGGAAATTATACGTACATTTAAAGTGGTTGTAAACCCTTACATAAACCGCTGAAATAACTAGACTCAGGTGATACACAGAGATTAAACTAATCCTCCTACATAAGCTATACAAGTTTATCTTCAGCCTTCTTCCCTCCAAGCCT